CCCCCCCCCCCCAATAAAAATCTGAATGTTTGACCGGAGCTGAAACATGTGCAGATGCTCTGGAGGGGTTCCTGCTTGCTGACGTCTCCCGTCTCTGACTTGCAGTAACAAGTCCTCCTGCAGTAAGATCGCCATCCGCCTCAAAGTGTTGCGGCCGGACGACGTTGTTAAGTGTGCGCTTCCGGTTGCCGTGGCACCGATTGAGGACTTGATCCCTTTACAGGAGGGGAAGACGTTAGACTGTCCAGACCTGCAGGACGCCACCAAGATGTCAGAGAGCGCACCAAAGGTCCAGTGGTACTTTGTGGCGCACCCGGTAAGTTTTCAGCACTGCTGTTAACCTCTGTCCTGTTTTATCTGCAGGCTTTGATTCTGTTGCATTCAGATACTCAGAATCACATTAAAACCATGCTGGTCTCTGACATAAAGCCTGGTCCTTCAGCCTCTGAGTGCTTTCTCTGTATGACGCCAAATTAAAATCCTTTTAGACACTCGGTTCTTTATTGAATTGACATTTTCTTAAATGTCAGTAGATCAAAAGTAATCGAGTATATCTGTAATGTTTCTGCAAATAAAAACATTTTTATTGTTTTGAACACAACATTGGGGCCCAACACAAACTCAAAACTGAATCAAATACCAAACATATCGATGTCTGTTCTGCGAGTAGCGACTTAACCAAGCGAAGTCGCCGCAGCTGGACGACGTCCACCTTCTGACACGATCTGTCGTTTGAGTTCATCTCCAACCAGCCTTCAGTGTAACAGATTTATTGGTTTGTTCTGGTCGCTGCATGTTGGCGCTCTCTTGAGTCATGGTTACTGGGCTGCTCCGTTTTATTTCCAGTCAGCCACTTTTCTAATGGCTGTACATTATCTTTACCTTTCTTTAGTTACTCTGACTGATGTTGATGTTTTTCTACGATAGAACATTTCTTCACTTATTAAATATTATTTTAAAGAATATCAAGGCACTGTTTCAGGGCCAGAGGTGAAATGATGACATATTAATGATATACAAACATATTTAGTTTGACTTTAGGGTATTCGAATTAACAATTATCAACTAACTTTGTATAAAGTCATTTTCCATATTTTGAAAATAGCAGCGGGACCAATATTGAGCCTTATGGAATCCCTTCAATGAAGTACTTTATGTTTCACTAGAAATGAATGTGTTTGGTAAAGAAGTCTCCCTGGTTTCGTTATACACCTTGTGATACTAATGACTGAGTAAACCGCAGACGTATCAGCACCGTTATAGCTGATTAATCTTTTTTCTCTCACAAATGTTTTTTTCTCTTCCTCGTACGATGGGATGCCTGTGTTTCTGCAATAACAGTTTTACTTCTTCTTTCAATTAACAGAATATGTTCAGTGTGGTATTCGTGCTTTTCCTCTCTTAAACGTGGCAGCTCTGTTCATTAATCCTTCTGTCAACGAGTCAGTAAAGCAAACAGCTGAACTGAAACACGCTGTAAAGCCGAGCGGAGCTGCAGGATATCGTCTGCAGATCGGGTCTGGATGGGCTGGATGAAACTAAAGTGTGTGAATCTCGCCGTTCTCAGGTGTGCGACTGGTATCCGTTCTGGGACAGCGACAGGGAGCAGAAAGGAAACAGTCTGCAGGTTCACCTCATGATGGAACAGTATCAGGGTTTATATTACTGCAGAGTCCAGTACCAGAGGAGGAACCAAACACTCAACTTCACCAGGAGCATCAACGTCACGGCCATCTGTGAGACACCGTTTCTGCTAACTCGCATACAGAGATTACAGGCAGTAACTGTGCAGGTAACCGGTGCTCTCATTTACTCTCAGTGCCCCTCTCGCTGCCCAAAGAGCCCAGCATCATGAACCCCACACATGACCAGATTTTCACAGTCAAAACAGGTACGTGAACAAACCCCCCGAGCGCTGTTCAGTCGTCTTTGTCTTTGCACGTTTCTCCTGTTTGTACTGCAGCATACAGCTGTACAGCTCAGAGGCCTCGAGGACGTGTTAAACGCTCCTATGTGTAGATTTAAAGATTTGCATAAACTTCATGAGCATTTGACCGTCCCTGCCGTGACTTGGAGATGGCGGTCAAACGTGCCTTGGGCTTTACCTTGGGGCCCATTGTTTGGTTCATATTGCTGGCACTAAGTCAGAGTCCTGGTGGGCTGTGGGTTCAGTGGCCTCATGGTCTTTCTGGCTCTGCGGAGCGATGACCTCCAGCTTCAGCACCTCTCAGTCTGAGACCAGGTTCCCATCAGGAACAGGCTGGAGTGCCCGTTCCTTCGGGAACAGTGTGGAGGAGACCCCGGGGCAGACCCTGAATGAGAGAAAATGTCTGTTGGCTGGAATGTGTCATGATGAGGACCGGAAGGAAAAATCCAGTTTTTAAGGGTTTTCTTTGTGTCGTCGTTCACCCTGAGCTGCTGCAGTCGTGCATTGTGGAGACCCTGTTTGTATGCGAGGCAGCAGACGCATTGATCGGTGCAGATGACAGCCGGAGGTCGCTGTTGACGGAGCGATAGTGTTAATTTGTTATTGATCAGAAACGATTGGTCAAAATGGAAAACGTGCAGACGAATAAAAAATTGAAAGAACAGAAAAACCAAAACCAACAGAGCTCACATGTTAAACAAATAACTTGATGTGATTGGCTGTCCTGTGACTTCTTCACAGCAGGAACATAAATCCTGCTTGAATAAAACGTGCTGCACAGATATCTTTGAACCCATTAAGAACATTTTGAGTGTAATGAGGTTGATCTACAGCAGCCTTCAGTCCTGCTCACACTGATGAACACAAAGGTCTGCACAGACGCCACGTCTCTCATTAACACAGAGGACGGGGACAGGGGTGAATCTAACCAGGCTGATTTGTCCAGATGTGCATGGACAACATCAGCAGTTGATGGAAGAGTCGTGTGGCTCTGCGGAGGAAGTTCTTCCACCTGCAGCTGGACTCTGAGGACGTGACGGAGACGGACGGGCGGCACTTCGTCTGCCAGCAGCTTCTTTCAAACTGGCTCTCTGAGACTTCCACAAAGTTAATCGTCCGCTCAGAATTAGTGGAAGCTGCGGGAGAACGTCTCATAAAACAGAACGAGCTGCTAACGGCGTGCACGGACACGCGCTCCATCAACGCACGCGACATGCACACACAGTGTGAGTCGTGCCGATGGAGGCGAGCAGGACCGCAGCCAGCAGGCTGATAAATGTCTGAAGGAAACGACTGCCGCAGCGCCGTCATCAGCAGCAGTTTAAGACTTCAATATCAGCGTCATTGTCTGTGAAAGGAAAAGAAAGTCATGAAACTGCAGCTGCGTTTTCCAAAGCTGCAAACACTGCGACTCCAAAAAGTTTGAACGGGTCGTTAATTAGACCGAATTACTGCATTTATGAACCTGCGCAGCAAAGAAACATCGAGATATAAAAACACGCTCGGGAACATGTGTTCTGCACGGATCGTTTAATGAACCGCAAATGTTCAACAGAAATGAATCCAGAGAATACACTAAAATCACTGTGAGTCATGTCCGTCACCAAGTTGGACGTGTGCCGCTCATTTCCAGCTCCACGTGCAGCTTTGCGCGAGTCGCAGTTCAAAACGACCACATTAGGATATTCCCACTCTATGACATCGTGCAGATCCACGAGTGGAGTGAACTGTTTAACGTGAACATCCACGCCTGCAGGAGGAAACACTTTACCTTCATCCTGCACTGAAATGAATATCCTTCTGTCTCTTCAGGCACCGAGGTGCGTCTGGTGTGCAGAGGTCAGCTTCCGTTCGTCCTGGACAAACCGTGGCGGGAGATCTGGTGGACAGTTGATGGGAAGACGCTGGACAAACTTCCTGATCGATTCACACAAATTAACAGGTGCGAACAGAGCGCGTGCGCCAGCGGCCGCTCTGCACGGCGCTTGTTATAAAGTCACATCTCCAAATAAACTTGATGATAAGAGCGCTGACCACTGCTAAGGTTTTTGCTTTTTCATTTTAAATGACGCCTCCTTCACTTTCATCAGCGTCTCCTATTTTTGCACCGTTGGAATTAACTCCAAACCTTTCAGTAAAAAGCTCAAAATAGTGAATTAAAGTTCAACTCAAAGAGTGTTTTACAAAAACAAGATAAAATGTGTAAAGTGCATCTGTAGCCTCAGTGCTTATAATGTGAAAGGAGCTGTTTAAATGTAACAAACTTGAAACACTACTTTATTGATATATATACTAGGCTGCGAGACATCAGCAGCACAGCATATTTAAAACAACTCGAACTATCAGACGAAAGCAGCGGAGAGTAAATTCCTGCAGAAAGCGTGCTTTTATTTTGAAATGTCACTTCTTTTTGTGCTTTGAGGGTGGTGAGAGACCACTTCAGGGACCTGACTATCGAGAACATCCTCGTGATCCAGGACTTCCAGTCCAAAGACCTGAAGCGAGAGTTTTACTGCTCCGTGAAGAACGAGCGAGGCTTCGATACCCGCAGAGCTCAGCTGGAGGAGGAAGGTGAGGAAGCGCTGCTCACGCCGTGTGGATGTTTCACATTAAAGGCTCGTCATGCATCTGAAACTCAAGCTCAGTAAACACTTTCCAGATGAGCTTCAGGTCTCAGTGAACAAACAGGAAGTTCGATTTGGGAATTATGGTCCTGGGTGATCCCCACCCAACACCTGTGACGTCTTTAGTAGACCAAGGTGTCGATGACAAAACCATAGATAACGTCCAGCGTAATGTAGAACTCCCACTGTGGACTCCCACAGGGGGCGCTCTTGAGCTCGAGCAGCGTTAGATAGAAAGCATCAAAAGCACAGGTGTCGTTCCATTTCTTACAGGTTTGTTACAATGAAATGATGAAGACCCCCTGCCCTGTGTTGTTTTCTGTCCGTGGGGGCGTGGCTTAGCCGTCACTGAGGCCTCAGGTGTGTTTGTGTTGCAGTGTCGCTGCCCACCTTGGAGCTGGGCTGCGGCCTCGGCGTCACTCTGCTCCTCATGCTGATCCTCTTCGTGGTTTATCACGTCTTCTGGCTGGAGCTGCTGCTGCTCTATCGCTCCTGGTTTGGCACAGACGAGCGGCACACAGGTGAGACCCCGCCCCCAGCTCCCTCCACCTGCTCGCCCGTTCCCTTTATGACCCGCAGTCAGATGAACCCTCAGACGCACCGTTTTTATCACCTTTTTGTGCGATTATGATTCTGCATATTCGGGGTGTAAAACACGAGGTAATAAAGCTACAGCCTTGTTTTTGGCCAGGTAACTGAAATATCTGCAGTGTCACTTCACTTTTTATGCCCTGACACTAAATTTCTTCTCTACGAGTCGCGCTGCCTGGCTGCGCTTGCAGCATTTAGTTTATTAAAGGAGAACGTTTGTGACCCTAAAATCACTCCAGAGCTACATGTTTGCGTTCGAGGACACTCGGTCAGCTTCTCACAGAAAAATCCCCTCGCTTTATCTCGATCGGAGGCAAAATTTGACATTTTTCACATGTCGTGGTAGAAAAAGATTGTATCTTATCTGCAAATGAAACTTGTGCATACCAGAAATGTCACACAGGACGTCTGAGCAGTGTGTGCAGGGACGTTTTCATGTCATGTGGAAAAATGGGAACAGACGTGGAGAGCAGCGATTCACTGAAACATGCAGCATATTTGAAAAGTCCAAAACCTTGAGTGAGACTGTTCAGTTTAGTTTTGTAGAGAATGAAGAAGAAGGAGGAGGAGGAGGCGCTTTATCAGATCAGTTTCCACTCACTTTTATCTCGCTGACTCGACATGTGTGGGTGACATTTACGCCCTGACTTCCTGACGACTGAAGCTCAGAAGTTTCCCCTCTGTAATGGTGTGTGTGTGTGTGTGTGTGTGTGCGTGTGTTCAGATGATAAGGAGTTCGACGTGTACATTTCGTATGCGAGGAACAGTGAGGAGGAGCAGTTTGTTCTGTTGACGCTGCGCAGAGTCCTGGAGAACGAGCTCGGGTACTCGGTGTGCATCTTCGACCGAGACAGCCTGCCCGGCGGGAGTGAGTACTCACGTGTGCTGTCACACACACCACACACACACACTGAACAGGTGAACCAAAACACACGTCATCCATCCATCCGTCCATCCTTCATTATCCCTCTCTCCCTGCAGCCATCACAGATGAGACTCTGAGTTTCGTGGCTCGCAGCAGGCGCCTCCTGGTGGTCGTCAGTCCCGGCTACGCCTCGCAGGGCTCCCAGGCTCTGCTGGAGCTTAAGGCCGGCATTGACACCATGGCGCTAGCTGGGCACCTGCGGGTGATCCTGGTCCAGTACAAGCCGGTCCGGAGGAAGGGCTGGGTCAGGGAGCTGAGGCGGGCCCGGGTGGCTCTGGCGCTGGTCCGATGGCAGGGGGACAAGTCCAGAGAGCTGTCATCACGCTTCTGGAAGAGGCTGAGGGTGGAGTTGCCCGTGAGGAGGGTTAGCAGCCGAGGGGAGGACGAAGAAGAGAGCAGTAAGGAGGTGGCGCTGATGAGGCTTCACAGTCAGAACAGTACAAACTCCCAAACGGGGCTGATCAGCAACACCGTCAAAGACCCGCAGAAAGTCCTGAATTCTGCAGCGTAGCAGCAGCTCTCTGAGAACAGTTACAGCTGGTGGAGCTCAGCCTGGGGAAGGCTCGTGGTTTCTCTGAATGACAGTTATTATAGTCATGCTTTTGACCAGGACTGACTCAGATTTATTCATTTTATGAAACAAAGTTTCATTTTCCCTTTAAGGATATGAAAAAGTCCACAGCCATGCTAGCAGCTCTGTCAGTATTTACACCAGAAAACATTTCCCATCAACAAGCTAATGTTTTTATCAGTGTCGCATTATGAACAAATGGCACGTTTCAGCATCCTGGGTTAATGAGACTGTGCTCCACCTTGTTTCCTCTTCAGGTGATGTTTGGCCAAAACCCGCACGTGCAGCTCAGAGGACAGACGTCCATGTATGTGCGAGTCATATTTCACACTAATCCTCTAACAGCTGTGCAGATATTTAAAAAGGAAAATGTAAATCTCCCTGATAGGTTTGTAGCATAAACCTATTCGCTGAAACGTTGAAGACAATATAATTACACAGCAAGCAAGACACGAAGTAGACAAAGTTCTTCATGTTTCTCGTGCACGGGAGAGAACCGGACAAACGCCGTTCCTTCGCTTGACCCCAGTTGCTCTCGTCCGCTCCCCCGTAACACTGCCCTTTTATTGAGGTTACATGAATATGCATAGGTTCATTAACATATGACGTCTACATACAACAAAGAGTACCTTGCCTGTGTGTGTGTGTGTGTGTGTGTGTGTGTGTGTGTGTGTGTGTGTGGTGTGTGTGTGTTGTGTGTGTGTGTGTGAGTCGTGTGTGTGTGTGTGTGTGTGTGTGTGTGTGGGGTCAGAGTGTGACCCCATAAATGACTTCCCTAAACCTGCTGGTCTGGAAGTCCAGCAGTTCATCTAAACAAAAGGCACGTAGCCTAAAACAGATATAGATACGTTTATCCTACCATGAAACAATAAGACAAGGTACGACCTCTCCCAGGATGTAGGTGTGCACACAAAGTTTGCAGACTATTAAGGCTCAAACCTCTACCAATCTACAACTAATTATAAAACTCTAAGCATATATAAGTAAATATTTCTAAGCATAAATGACAATCAACAATACAAACTCTAACATTCCCCCGTTTTTGACCTTTATGCTAGAAAAGTTCCCAGGTATGATCACCTCATGTCTGACAGTTTCAATGCAAACATTTTTATACTCAGCATATGTCAAATCACCCTAAATTACTGTAAAAGTACTCCTCATTGATCTCATCCAATGGCAAACTGCATCCTACGAGCAAACAAATGAATTTTTAATTTAATAGTTAAAATAAGAAAGTAACATTTTCAAAAACATCCAGCTTTGCGGTGATCACCCATCATCTATGCAGAGTGGTTTGAGTTCTGCAGGGCGTCATGATAGTCTCTTCCAGTTGTTTCCATCACTGTCCATAGGACCAGAGTCCAAATGTATGTAGAATAAACATTCAAACATACCAGTTGGTTTTGTTGTTTGTCAACATGGGTCTCAGCTATCATGAAAGCTGCAGACCTCTTCAGCACTCTAGTTTTATGGCCTCTATCAACCCCCATCACCTCACTTCAGGCCTTCGTCCTGCGAGGGGGGTACTTATGACCCCTCCACTGTCCACGCTCTGCAGAAAAACCCCTCTGTGGAAAGGGTGCTGGGTCCAGTTATCTTACTGCTGTTATGATCCCAGCAGTCTTCAGAGTGTCATCATATGCACAGTGCAGTGGCACAGCATTAGGTGATGTTCATAGGAAACTGCTGTCATCACCACCATAGCTTCTGGTTCATGTGCTTTTCATAGAATCATGATGCTGATGCTATGAACGCTCTACACACATGAGTCAAGATGCAGAAAAACTGCTGCACATCTGAAAGAAGAAGCTGAACTCACAGAAACGCTGCACACTCCAGTTATCACAGTTATCATAGTTCTGTTTCCCTCTCTTTGATGAGTTCTCAGCCAGCTCTCGATCTGATAATGTGTAGCTTGCTCATCAGCTCAGAAGAGACCACAACGCAACCTCACACAGTGGTTGCGTGCTTTGCCCACAGTGGCAAAGACGTGCACTTTCATATTCAATTCAGCTTCTCCATCATGTACTTTTAGATGTTTCATACAGGGTTCAGCATATTAGTTGTTTTCACAGGTGTGCTCTATATCTCAACAATGGCTCATAATAAGACGACAGTCTTTCACACAGGTCAAGTGCCTCTATGCACATCATTTGTTTAAATATTTACCTACCAACCCAAAGAATAATCTAAGCATTTTGTGTCAGCAAGGGGTGGGGGAAAGCCATTCACCAGAGCATATCTTAACTGCTGCTGATGTGGGCTGGCCTTCTCCACACACTCTTCAAGGCTGCTATGTTTTCTGAAAATTTCTAAGACTTGAATCTAAACATTTTACAGCAACCAATTTACCCTCAAAATCACAGTTTTGTATTAGAATATGAATATCTCGCGCTGCTGGGAGTGAATTCTTGCATGAATGCGTTGTCTCCCTGTGATGCAGTCTTACTTGCTCGGGAAGCTATGATAACAACAACAACCGTGTCACAGACCACACCTGCTCCGCAGCATTCACACAAACGCATATGACAACAACAACAACACAAATTAGGCCTACTTCGAACTCTCACCGTTACACTCGGGACACCGACCCAATCTTTCGGGACCCTAACCCAGTCGCGCGACAAAACCCCAATGAAGGGACACTCGGGACACAAACCCAGGGTGATTTCTCGGGACACAAACCCAGTTGCGGGACACAAACCCAGCTTCTGGAGACAAACCCAGTTGCGATTATAGAGTCACTCTCCAACTTACTTGGCGTTGCTTAGCGTCTCGGGACTTTACTACAGGAACTTCCTGACTGACGTCAGTCTTACAGCGTGTCTCTTCTCCCCTCGGTGAATGTCGATTCCAGGGCTCCGGCTCTCGAAGGACCAATTAATCGTGCTTTGGGGAAATGAGTTCATCTTTGTGGAAACCGTGATTGTTTGAAGTGGTTCATTGAACATCAACGTTCAAGCGTGGATGTTACCGTCCTTACTGCAAAGCTGCTAGCATGGCTAAAAACGAGCTCCAGACTAACATTTTTAAAGGGTTAGTTCGTTAGTTAAAATGCTGAAAGCGCCCCTAGAGGCTGCAGTGTTCATTACAACAGGAAGTCTGTGTTGTCAGTCCTGGAGCTGAAGTCACGATGCCGTTAAAGCTGGTCGCCCTCGAGAGCGGGAGGAGGACGATGCAGATGCTTCGATAGAAGTGTTTGTTTTACAGGTTTTCAATTTCACTCATTTTCATTTAACTTTGATATTAGCTGCCATTTCATCATCTACAGTATCCACTCATTATCACACGTGTCATTATCACATTTATGTATTTCATTTTTTTTGTTTGTCCAGAGTTAAAAACTTTTGTGTTTTCTAAACTGGTGCTTTATAAAAGAGGTCTGGTTTTACTTTACAGTGTTTTGTGCAAACATGCACAAAATAGCCTTAAACACATGTTATTCAAATCGTAACACACAGTTAACACACTAATAGACTATAGAGGTGGATTAAAATCAAGTCCTATATCTGTATCATGTTAGCATTCAGTGTTAGGTTCATATGGGTTCTATCGTTTTTTTCTACATATCTGTTAAAAACCAAAGGTCACCTGTTGGTGGGACTCGTGGAGAGGTGTCAGGATAACAAAGTGGGTAAGAGTCATCCTCGGGGAGGGGGGGGCCATGACCATCTATACAAAATTTATTCAAATCCATACAATGGATGCTAACACATCACATGTGCCACAGACGGGGAGCATTTCCATTTATATATCTGTATGTCCTCTGTAGCTGAATGTAGTCGTCATTTTAATTGGTTACAAAGAGCACAACACCTGCCTAATGAGCAGGTCACTACACAATCACCTGTAGTGTGTATGAAAGATACTGACTTATCTGAAAATACCCACTAAATAACCACCAGACAGTCGTAAAACTTAAAGTGCGAAATGAATAGTTTGCCTTCAAAGACAAAGTTCTGCCTTAGAACTGAAATCCACTCAAAAAGTACAACTTTTACTTTGAAGGCAAACATGGCAACAAGTGATTTCATTACCGCTCAGTAGTTGACAGTGTTTTCAGACAAATCGGACACTTTCATTCAACGTAGGTACAGCTACAGCAATCTGTTAGCATCCAAGGTCTTTGGTACAACCAGTTTCACCCAGTAACAGCAACCTCCAGGAACCAGTCAGGGAACACCCACATTTTCTTAAAGACTGGTGGGTACGGTTCCCTGTGTGATTTGTGCGTGCACACATGTGACATCGCTTGGATAGTTGTGACGTTGAGGAGTTTTTGCACAGACGCCAGCAGAGAGGTAAAGCTGGGTGTCATCTGCATAGAGGAGTTATCGTACCTGCTAAACAACACAAGAAAAACCAAGTATGGATTCATGCTTCATGCACTGCAGGTTTTAGATATCAGCATTGAGTAACCTGTTATTTGTTTGTTAATTACTGTGCACTTTCTTTATTTTCCACTTTATATTTGATATTTCAACAAAAAATCAGCTCTCATTGTATATTTTTCTTACTAAAATATGCTACGCTATTTATCTCTAACCTGAACAATCAGTATTGTAATGAGAGAATGCATCCTGCACTTTGTCACGCTGTGAACTGTGGTTATTTTATTTCTGTTTTTGGTATAAAAGTCTTTTCCTTTCACCATCATTATTCATGTCAGTGTTTTTTATTTGATGTCTTCCATTTTCAGAATCACACACACAAAAATAAAACTATGCCTCGGTCACACCATGAATGAATGAAGCCCCTGATATCTGATATTTTGTGGAGAACATAAAGACAATGTCTCCCAGTTTGATGTGTCTTCATGAAGATTTGCAACTAAATGTCCAACATTGACATATCTCAGGTGAAGAATCCCTTTAATGTTATGGTGAAATGTTTATGCAGATCTATCCGTAACATTTTCAGTAACTCTGGAACGATCAGACAAACTAAAGTTGCCACGTCTCCTTCGTGGCAGAGCTAAAAGTACCCGTGTACGTGTGGATGTAAGCTGAACCTTGAGCTGCAGTCCTTGAGTCTTTTTGTCTGTCCCCTGTCAGACCTATCAGAGGCCATCCTGCAGTCAATGCAGCGGAGCCGCCGCCTCCTCTTGGTTCTCAGCCCAAACTTCCTGGCAGAAAAGAGCTTCAGTCTCCTGGAGTGTCGTCTCGGTCTGTACCTCGAGAATAGTCTCCGAGCCTCTATTATCGCTGTGGTTTACCGCTCAGTCAGCAAACTGGCCTGCGTGGAGGTCCCTCAGCTCCGTCAGGCCACCATCACCACCGTCACATGGCGAGGAACCCGATCTGAACCGCGGCGCTCTCGCTTCTGGCTCAGGCTGAGGCTGGCACTGCCCGTCCGCCCACTCGCTCTGGGCAGGAGGTTGATCGACAGCACATCATCGCACTCAGACCTGGCTGCCATGGCCCTGCAGAGGGCTCAACGGATCCAGAGCCAGAGCGACAGAACCAATCAGGGCCACCGAAACGGGCGTACCAATGTTAGCCGCAGAGACAGGCGGACGCGGCCCAGAGGGTACCTCAAGAGAGGGGTCATAAATATGGAGGAGGGGCCACAGCACAGCAGGAGTTGCTCAGGGTGCGCTGGGTTTATGGGTAATGTAGAGGGGGCAGGGGTGGAGCTTACAGTAGAGACGCAAACACAGCAGGAACCATGCGATAGGACAGAGGTTCGTTCAGACCCGGTCCCAGAAACACACCCCAACCCAGTTCCTAACTCCGCCCATGATGCTCACTGCTCTCCTAACCCCACCCCCATACACCACCTAGATTCTGACTCCGCCCTCACTATCAGTCCGGAGAACAAAATGGGGAAACACAACCAGCAGCAGGCGGTGAGCAGTTCAAGGACGTCTGAGGAAGTTCTTCCATCGTAGAGGGAAAAGGGGTGGAGCTAGTGGTGAAAATGGCACCAACTCCACCCTTTGATAAAGACCTTTATTTCTAACTCAAAGGAGATGCTGCATTCAAATGACGTCAGGAAAATACAAGTGTTTGGGAGGTCAGAAGAAACATTAAGATGGGTTTGTCCTGAGGGAGGCGATAGACAGCAAAGTCCAGGGGTAATTCAAATCTTTAGAGTTCATCCTCTGGAGAGCAGGAGATCCGTATATTTCAGGATGATCTAAATCAGCGGTCCCCAACCTTTTTTGCGCCACGGACCGGTTTATGCCCGACAATATTTTCATGGACCGGCCTTTAAAGTGTCGCGGATAAATACAACAAAATAAAACTAGTACCGGTACCGAAAAAAAGATTTATTCATATCACACGTGAAAAGACCCAGGAAAACCGAGTTAACGATAAAAACGATAACAAAATAACGCTGAACACCGATAAAAACCCTGAAAACCAGACATTTCACACCTGAGCCTCAACTCTCGCGGCCCGGTACCAAACGACTCACGGACCGGTACCGGGCCGAGGCCCGGGGGTTGGGGACCGCTGATCTAAATGGCAGATCTTGAAGGTTTCAGAACTTCTGCAATAGTACAAGAACTACGCTTATGAACAAAAGTACTGGGTCACATCTCCTAATTATTGAATTCAGGGGTTGTCAGTTTGAATTGAAGTAGGTGCTGTAACAGGAAACCATTGTTGCATCAAGTCCGACTTCCCTCCTAAATGTTTCACCACGCTTTCGGGGGTATTATTTCAAAGTGGAAGCTTTTAGGCACTCGGCCATGCAGTGACAGACTGTGTAAAGTAATTGAACGAGGTCTCGAGTGTTCGGGCGCACAGTTTGCAAAAGTCGCCGACGCTCTGTTGAGTCAAAGGCTGCAGCGCTCCAAAGTTCCTCTTGCATGGCCAAGCAGCTCTTACAGCTGTCTTACGTAGGTGGTCCCGTACTTTTGTCCATATTGAGGAAGCTAATACACCTTTTAATAAACCAGAGTATTGTTTCCCTTATTTGGTCTCTAGTAAAACTGCATCGAGGCCACAGAGAAACGCTGCCTTAAGGACAAACTCAGGGACAAAGTTTTCAGTGTCTTTCCTTAATTCACAAGATTTACAGCTCACAGTGAAAATATGAAACCAACACATCAAAACACTTTGAATCTTTAAGGCTTTTATACGAGAATCAACCTCAAAATTGAGCTAATGCTAAAGTGCCAAAATCTGCAGTTCCTCTAATGGCCTCTTGAGGCTCCAGCAGTGAGTCAGTCCCCACAGATGTTGAAATGTCTGATCTTACAGCAGAAATCAACGTGTTTACAAACGGTTTCGTTCTCTTTGGCTAACTCTCCTGTTTAAATGATCTTAAGGCTTAAAATTTGCATTGTTGGGGGTGTGGCCTCTTTGATTGACAGGTGGACAAAGGGGCTGCTGCTGCTACACCCACTGACGATAAATGACAAGAACATGAGAACAATCCAGGTTCATGTATCATGGATGAAAGTAGCTCATCAGCCCGCCACCACACGACAGGTGACGACACTAGCTGCTAACAAAATCACAGTTCACCTATAAAATAACTGGAAATGCCTTATTTTTATATATCTTACTTTAGTCTCTGTGTTTTCTAATAGAAAAGGAGTCCCTCGTTATTTATGTTGATTTCATAATGTTTCCACAGCCCCGGCTGTTTTCACCCGAGACCTTTAATCAGTGTTATCTCCTCTTGTAGCTTTGCTGTTTCTGCATGTCAGCGGCTGTTCTCAGATCAAACCCTGCTTTTCTTTGATGACTAATAAAGAGATGGCACTGCTCATCTTTACGTGGACAGACTGAACGTGCTTGTACGTGATGTGATACCATTTCTATAAAGAGACACTGGTTAATAAAAATCTGTGTTGACGATGATAATTGTTTGGCATCTGAAATTTCTTTTAATTATTCATTTTTAGTGGATTGTGGAAAACGTGCTGAAACAGTTGAGGTGATTGTTTTTTCCACCTCTGCTGGAGGAATGTGTTTCACCGTCAGATGTCTTGGCTCTTTGGGAGCACATGTTTAATGCTAATGATTGTGAGCTTCTTCTGTGCTTCACTGACTGAGGCTCAGAAATAGTCACTGAGCAGCTAAAATGTAGTTGCAGGACTTTTATTTTGACATTCTCATCAAACGTCTTTTCTTAATCACTTTTCCTGACACAGGTTCAAACATGTTATGGCATGAAATGGAAAACACATTATCATTAATGAACATGTTGGTCCACAGCTATGAATTGTGGGATGTCATTACCTGCTTTCCTTTACAAAGGATCCTCCAGCGCATCCTTTGCTGATGTGATTAAGAAAGCACTTCTGAGTCATTTACACAACTTCCTAAACAAATCTGATCCGTTGACGGTAACAAGTGACTTCAGGTGGGAAAATCAGCACAAACCAGCAGGTGTCGCTGTTCGACCACCAGCCTGAGTGTGGGAGTTCCTGTGTGTCCAGAGTTAGTACGCACAGTCTGCGTATCGCCTCTGTTTTCATGAGGTTTATATATTTATCAGGGCAGCACGCATGGATTAATAAAAAACCTGAATTCTTACTGTCAACTGTCACAACCCCCAGAAAGTCTTTCTACACATCACGTCCCGCCTAACTAAAAAGAGTGAAGTGGTTCCAAGAAATCTGTCAGTTATTAACATCTAAGAAGAAGCAAAAGAAATTAACCATGGCCAACAGAAGGCGCGCCAAAGTTACCAAAGAGAAGGGAAGCCACTCAGCTGGGAGATCTGAGCCTTCCCTCTGACATAAACCAACATCAGAGCTGAACCCAACAGGAACAGAGCCACGAGAAACTAAGTAACAGGAAAGTGAAGCAAACACAGGAAGGCTTGTTATTAATCTCTGGCTCCACAGAGTGTCTTTGTACTGTCTTCGTGCTCTCCCTGTTGGTCACTGGGAATGTAGACAGGCCACATGCTTCTGCGGGAGGTTTCTTCCTGTTAAAAGGGAGTTTTTCCTTCCCACTGTTGCCAAAGTGCTGCTCATAGGGGGTCATATGATTGTTGGGTTTTTCTCTGTATTACTGTAAGTTCGTTACAATGTAAAGTGACTTGAGTTGTTGTGTTTTGATGCTATGTAAATAAAATTGAATCAATTGGGTGAGATTAGGTGGCTGGTTTCAGGGAGTTTCAGTTATTGGTCTGCTGGCCTGCTCTTGTTTTGTGCATCTTTTAATAAACTGCTCCTGAGAATTACTGGTTGGACTCTGGTTTAACTTTTCATGTGATTCCTTACTGTTAGAAATTATCACCAAAGTACAAATGTAAGCACAAACTTTACTGACACAACCGTCTCATTCACCGGAGAATAGCCCGACGTCCAGGGACCAGGATGTGAGTGTATCCGTCCTGCGGTCCAGCTCCTCTCCTGGTGATCAGGTGAGCTCGACCTTCATCCAGCAGGTATCTACCAAACTGCACAAACACGCTGTTTCCTCACTGCACAGGGAAGGCTTTGGCAGTTCACACGCCACCTTCAGCTGAGACACAAACCGCTGAACCCGGTCAGAGACGTATGAGCCAGAGACCAGTGACATTAGCTGTTTTTGAACTGCTGCAGTTGTTTTCTAATGAATTAATGTTTAAGTGGCGTCTTTGGCTGAAGCCCTGAAACACAAAAAACCTGAGTGTTAAATTTAAATCATCCATCATCTCCTGCTGTGTGCACGCAGAGATCAATAGCAGCTCATTGATGGTGTTCGACAGCTCGTCTGCAGAGAGCAGCAAACGCACCTCCGTGTATTTTAACAATGATTTGTGGCACAGTCTCACAGAAATGTGTTCCAGGAAACAGCGGCGTGAGAATCTATGCTCCGCCCAAAACAGCCAACAACACAGTCACAAGCAAACAGTTGGACTGGTGCTGCTTCACTGTCTGTCAGAACAATGCAGGTATGCTGCAGGGGGGCGACTGCTCCGCCTCCTCGCTGTGACAACGACGCTGTGTGGACTATGAAGTATGATCATTTCATGCTACAGTATTTAAGTATTTGCAGTTACTAAACCTTCACATTCATAGACAACAGCAGAAAGGCCGATGACTATAACAAACAGGCTCTATTCCAGGTCACTTCCACTAACAAACAGGGTGTTTCCACACGAAGAAACTTCCGTATCTCCGTCTCTTTTCTTTGCTTATCTCAGCAGCTGTTAAACCAATCCACTTCAAACTCGCTGGCTGTGTTTGGGGGGCTCTGATGAAGAGTAGCGCTGAGGTACTCTGGATAAGTGGTTGTCATACTTTGGCTGCTTCCCGCTCCGGTCCATGAGTAGGGGAAGGAACAGCCGTGACATTAATGCATTCACAGGCCTCTTAACTCTAATTTTAATCATTTTAACAAAGTGTCAAAGCCTAACTTACCTAAACTTAAATTTTACTCCCAAACCCCTAAAAGAGTCTGATGAGCTAAAAGCCCAGTGCAGTGTTCCTGCTACCACGGTCTCAGACTAAAGCCTGAAATAATGGCGTGACTGTGACTGGTTGTATTAGCAGAGGGATTAGCTGGAGATATGCTCTATGAGCGCCACTGAGCATCACTGTCACCATGACCTTTACCCGCTCCTCTCATCTGTCTCTACCTGTCGCTCTTTACTCTGCTCGCACTAATAAAGCAGAAATGGCTTTTAAAGAAAAACAGGCTCATCAGCGTTTATTAATGCGAGCCGCTGCTCAGTCAGACCCTCTCGTCCCTGCCAGCAGGACGCCGCCGCAGCAGCAGGACATCGATTAAAAGTTTAGTTAGAGGAGTTTCCTCTGGCAGCGTCACAGATCCTCTGCATGCATGTTGGATTTATAAAAGATGAGCACGACAGCTGAACGCTGCAGTCTTCAAACTTTATTTACAGCTGCGCGTTAGCCTGAATAAACATGCATCAGAGCCCCCAGCAGCCCCGACAGAGGAAAGTTTCACCATCACGTCACTCGCCGCTTTGAACCCTTTTGACTGCTGCCATGTTGGTTTGTGGGAGCCATACATCACCGTATTTACAGTGGAACGCTATCAGATAATGCTAGCTAGCTTCTATGGCTGCAACAAACTGGAGCTCTGACGTCTTGGACAGTTTATCAGAGGAACTGACCAAACAGCCGTCACATCATTGGTCAGATACAGAAGAAACACAATCAGTTCTTTTATAGCTGACGTGCTAAGGACAGGTGGAGGAAAGTGTAAAGGAAACAGAGCTGCACACACCCCATCAACCCCCCAACCACAGCGTTACCAGCTTAGATATTTATGTGTAATCCAGTCTGATGTTCCCAGTGTGGACTGGTTCAACTGGTTATTA